ATCCCAACCTCTTGTGAGGATCCCTTTTTGGTGCTTCTTTTTTTTTTTTTTTTAAAGAACTTATTTATTTATTCGACAGAGAGAGACGGAACACAAGCAGGGGGAGTGGGAGAGGGAGAAGCTCCCCGCCGAGCAGGGAGCCTGATGTGGGACTCAGTCCTAGGACCCCGGGGTTAATGACCTGAGCCAAAGGCAGACGCTTAACAACTGAGCCACCCAGGCACCCCTTGGTGCTTTCTAACAGAATTACTCTCAGGAAAGTTACCATTAGCCTCCTGACGGCTAAAATCAATGGCTTAGTTTGAGGCTTCATACTACCTGATCTTTCTTCAGCAGATGATAGAACTGACCAAACTTTTGTTCTGTAAAACTTTCTTCTCTCCTTACTTCCATGTGACTATTCTCTAAAGCATTTTCTCCTTCTTGTCCTATTATTCTTCTGTAGTTTTCTTAACAGAATTTCCCACTCTCATTGTAAGCAAACAAAATCCCCAAACGTTAGTGTCCTCCTGGGTTGTGTTGTTTGGGGCCCTTTTCTCTTCTCCCTGAACTACCATATTCACAAGTCACATGTCTATATCTTTGGATCCATATTTCTAACTGACTACTAGATATCTTGCCCGGATGCCCTGCAGGCATCTCAAACTTAAAATGCCCAAAGCTTATCTTCCCCTCAAACTCCTACAAAACCTACTCCTCCTCCTTTATTCCCTATCTCAGGGAGTGGTACCACTATGTACCCAGGAACCGAAGCCAGAAACCTGGGTGCCATCCTCAACTCCTACCTCTCCACATTTAATAGACCATTAAGTTCTCTTAATATGTTAAAAATGTTTCTGCACTCCAACCTCTCCTCTCTAGCCCCCCAACAGCCTTCATATAAGTTCTGATCATTACTGATATCAACAATAACATCTTAGCAAGTCTCCCCTACTATGAGGCTCTGTCATTTCCAATTCTTTCTTTAGAATAGAGGCCATCAGACTTAGGGATTTCAACTGTTCAGAAAAGTTTATAAAATGGTTTTGATATTTGACATAGTATGACTTTTTTTTTTTTAATTTTGGCAGGCCCCATAAACCAACATCATCTACTTTCACTATCATTTCATAATAATAATTTTAAAAGACTTTTTGACTTCAAAAGATAGAAAGTACTATACTCTCATAGAAAACAGTTCTTTAAATATATTTGACATTTTAAATGAAACAGTGTACTGGGGTGGGGGGATGGGTTAGCCTGATGATGGGTATTAAGGAGGGCACGTTCTGCATGGAGCACTGGGTGTTCTACGCAAACAATGAATCATGGAACACTACATCAAAAACTAATGATGTAATGCATGGTGATTAACGTAATAAAAAAAAAATCTTTACTTAAAAAAAACAAGAGAAACAGTGTACTGGATGGGAACCACTGCTCTAGAATTTAGACTGCCATCACAGTAATTTTCAGCTAGCTTGAAAATCTCTGTATTATATAAACATTTAAATTTATCCATATAATCTCCATGCATATCCTTTTACTGGCTTTAATGGCTACATAGTATTCATTATGTTGACATGTTATTGGCATGTCTATTATAGTCTTCTATTTTAGGCATTTTTAAAAATAATAAACTTTAAACATTCCTGTCACATATCACCTCCAGGCCTTATAATAAAACCATCCTCTTTAGGGTAACATAAAAAGCCCTTTATAATCTGGTCTCAATTTACTCCTCAGAAAGTACTTACTCTAAACACATCATATCTTTTCTCGCCTTTATGCCAGTTGTTCTCAACTGGGACTAATTCCTTGCCCCCTTCTACAGGGGACATTTGGCAATGTCTGTATTACTATCTGAATTTTGTTACTCCCAAAATTCACACGTTGAAGCCCTAACGCCTATGTGACTGTGTGTGGAGATTATATATATATATATATATATATATATATATATACATATATATATATATATACACACACACACATACATACATAATATGGCATATACACATCTATACATTTTAAAGAGTTATATAGCATTTTAAAAAAAGATTTTGTTTATCTGAGAGACGGAGAGCACACGGTGGGGAGGAGCAAAGGGAAAGGGACAAGAAGACTCCCTACTGAGCAGGGAGCCAGCCCAGTGCTCAATCCCAGGATCCCAGCATCATGACCTGAACCGAAGGCAGACACTTAACTGACTGGGCCACTCCGGCACCCCATATAGCATTTTTTAAACCATAACGATATGAAAAAAATATCCTTACCCTTAACATTAAGCAATCAAGCTTTCCCAACTTTTTTTCTTAATACATTTCTTGCTAACTCATTGCCAAAGGTCAATAATACATAAGTGTGCCTTAGGATATCTAGGCCATCAAATGATCCACACGAATGTAAAATTTTCAAGAGCATGACTTACTAACAGTAATGTTAGTTAACACAAATAAAGAAACAGAAATTGGGAGAAATTACGTGACTTGTCCAAAGTCATACCACTAGCAAGTACTTCAAAATAAAAAATAAGGCTGGGGCTAAAAATGTTGAGAATCAAGATTTTCTCAGCAAAAAATAAAATTCTGGACATTATAATAAATGTCTTATTATAACAGGGCACCTGATGGCTTAGTCAGTAGAGCATGTGACTCTTGATCTTGGGGTTGTGAGTTCAAGCCCCACATTGGGTATAGAGATTACTTAAAAATAAAATCTTAAAAAATGTTTTATTATAATTCATTGACTTCATATTTGGAAAAGTACTTCCCTAAGGAAAACAATGTCTTTGTCTGCTTATCTAGTTAACCATCTGAGACAAAATTACTTCATGTAGTTTGCTAGAAAAAATATTCTAGCCTACCCTTGTATTTACATTTTTTACTTACTTAGTTCTTTTAGATTCTTAGGTTTTCAACATTTTTCATTCCTTTGTCCTATTCAATTTCCTCTTGTAGAGAAAACCAAATGAAAAATGATGAAAATAAGGAGTGTCATGGGCTATTATTTTAAGTACTTACTTAGTTACCTCAAACTCTGGAGTGTCCTGGAAAATAATCACTCAAACATCCGTTACCATACTGTTAAGATATGTATTGTTTTTATACTACCTTAAAGGTTTTTTTTTTTATAAGATTTTATTTATTTAGTTGAGAGAGAGAGAGAGAGAGAGAGAGACAGTGAGAGAGGGAACGAACACAAGCAGGGGGAGTGGGAGGAGAAGCAGGCTTCCTGCAGAGCAGGGAGCCGGATGCAGGGCTCAGGACCCTGGCAGACTAACGACTGAGCCACCCAGGTGCCCCTAAAGTTTTATCTTCTTGCCTCTTTTCAAGAAAGAAATGGGAAGTAGAGTACAATCTCTTTGCAACAAAGAAACTATTTTTTTATCATTGCATTTTAGTATTTTTTTTACTGAACAAATTTTATTTTGACATTGATAATTCTGTAGATCGACCTGTATCTCCAGCACCCCTCTGTGAAAACTCATTTATCAACCCTACCGTTCTGTTTCTGTCCTCCAGGACCCTGTGTCTCCTGGAAAGGGTATGAAATAGTAGCCACAGTCCAAGTGTTCCCAAAATTCAGAGAGGAACTGGGAAGATTTACAACAAACTTTGAAGGCATTTTCGATGTGGCAGATCTTACTTTTAATATGTTCAAAAACTTCTGGCAGCAACTTTGCAACTTGAAAGTGTGAGAGCTTTGATTTGTTCTGAGTTTGAGAAGCCACATTTTTGCCCCTAGTCTGAAGATCTTTTAGACTCTTAAAATTTCTCAGCTTTGTGCAGACTAGCTTGGAATAGAAAATAATTAATATATGACTTAAGGAATGTATTAGCACCTTATTTTATTCATATTTATTTACAGGTCTATTTCATTGAATGCTAAAGTTTCTTGAGGGTACAGATTTGTGCCATTCATTTTTTTTTATCGTCCATCAAGAAAAATTACTTCGAGTCTACAATCAATAAATATGTACTGATATGAAATTTCAATTGGGAAGGCAGAATACAGAACTATTAAACTTTTGGTCCCTGATGACCTGGGTTTAGGTTCTGCTATTCACTTGCTGTATGATCTGATGCAAGTTCACAAAACTCTAATTTCCTCAGCTCAGAAGTGGGCAAAATGAGATAATAAAGGACTTGGGAGCTTTTGAAGTGCTATATATATAATGAGTATTTCCTGAGCTCAGACTATGCTCTACGGTGCTGGTAACAGAATACAAAATATGCAGGGTTCCTGTCCTTACAGAGCTCAAGGTAGTTGGGGAGATAGACATAAAATAATTTTTCAAATAGATTACATTACTACAAATTGCCATGAAAAAAGGTTAAGAATTCAACAAGAGGTTGTAAAAGCAGAGACGGATTTAGATTGCTGAGTAAGGAGTCTCGGCGGGAGTGGCATTAAGAGGAAATCTGAAGGATGAGGAGATTCTCTATTTCCTCACCTCCTTCTCATTCCTCAACTTTCTTGAGTCCGGCTTCCATCTCTCTACCTAAGTAACTCTTGATAAAGTCACCAAGTGCTTCCATGTTACTATATACAACTGACATTTTTCAGTCCTTTACTTGACCTCCTAGCAGCACTCTGCAGTTGATCACTCCCTCCGTCTTGAGACGCGGTCTTCCCTTGCCTTCTCTACTAAGCCCGTGCCGACTGCCTCTTCAGTCTCTTTTGCAGGTTCATCTCCTTAAGTGCCTGGGCAGCCTCGCCGTGAACTGTAATTGTGAAAAACAACGCAGTCCTTTCGAGTCATAAAAAAGGAGTGGGTACAAGCGAACACATTTTTGGGGCCCTCTCCTCGCTTCCGGTACGCTTCATATTACTGCGAATATAAAACTTTTCGGTTCCACCAGAGACGCCCCTCTCTGTGGCAGGCTGGGCCTGGCCACAGGGCAAGAACTGGCATTCAACTTGACCCAACGCCGGCATATTTGCCCGGAAAACGCCCAAGGCGCGGGACAAATAAGGAGTTCACTCCAGCCCCGGCCGCGCTTCAAACTCTACAGCCTTGCGCTCCTCCCGACCGCAGCCCAAGGCCCTTTCGCGCGCGACCCGCGCAGACGAGTCCTCCGACATCCCAGCATTCCTTGCGCCCGTACCATCGAGAGCAGCTTCCGGCGTCGCTGGTGTAGGTGGGTGAAGAAGGAGCGGGCCCTCGCCGCTCTGTCTTACTCTCGCGCGCGCTCTCTCGGGCAACATGGCGGGCGTGGAGGAGGCAGCGTCCTCCGGGAGCCACCTGAATGGCGACCTGGATCCAGACGACAGAGAAGAGGGAGCTGCCTCTACAGCTGAGGAAGCAGCCAAGAAAAAAAGACGGAAGAAGAAGAAGAGTAAAGGGGCTGCCACAGGTAAAGGAGTTTTATGTGTTCCCAGTCCCCGCCGGGGATGGTCGAACGGCTGGGCCCAGGCCCGGCGGGGGTGACAGAAACTGGGGACTCGAACACTGCACCGGACTGATTCCCAGGACAGTGTGTGTCAAAACCAGGCTACAGATTTCCAGTCTCGGGAAGAGGCGGCTTTTCTTTCTGTGGGACTAGGGAGCTGTTGGGGGTGGGGTGGGGTGGGGTGAAAAGGGTGCCTCAGCTTGTCGTGAGGTAGTTCTGGGGTTGCTGGGCCTGAGCCCTTAGACGAGCCAGAACTCAGCTCCCACACAGATCGTGCAGCGGACTCGAAGCCGTGCACAGGGCTCAACCCTGCCACCCTCCTCGCGGTTTGCCCTCCTCAAAAATCTGGTTCTGACCCACACTGTCACCGCTTTGCTGGAGGTACCTGGAACGTATTTTCAAGGATGGGGGTGGAGTGGGCAAGTCTCAGTGCCTTGACCGCACCTCCCCCCACCTTCCCGGTTTGCAGAGGGATTTTTGTTGCCGGCTGCACTTTTGAGGTGTGTGTGTATGTGTGTATGCCCACGCGGTCATGTCACCGAGTAGTAATTGCAGAATACGTGGTAGTGCTGCGAATTTTCACCTGCCTAAAGCCATAGCATCGTCGAGCCTCAGGGCTTTTACGCCTGAATTATGATGCCATTTGCAGGCAGTTCGGATAGAATATTCTGTGGGTTGGAACAGAACTTCTCTAAATCCACTGGTAAGGCTGAAAGTTTACACTTGGATTACATTATGAGTTAGGAACTTAAATTTTTGAGAAGTCAGTGTTTTTTGTTGTACGTGGTATTTTAGGAAAACAATGTTTGTACCTGTTTTTAAAATCAACCACACAAAGATTGAGAGACAAATGGAGAGGCCATAAGTGATGATGGTGAAGTTGAGAGAGGTTGGAAAGGGTTAATATCTTTCTGAAATTTTGATTAAATGGGAGTTGAAAAGGGAAAGTTGTGGGTACTGGGACACTTACAGAGAAAATTTAATCCCAGGACATAGGCTGGGGGCTGTTCCTAGCTTTCAGACTCTTCAGTTTGTCCATTCAGTTGCTGCTAATACATTTTTAACAGTTGTATCTCTCAATATGAATCCTCTACAGTAGCCAGAATATCACTTCAATATGTGCTAACTGGTAATACTATTTCTTTCTACACACACCTATTGCTACTACAGCTACATTGCATTCACTTGGGTGGAGGGGGAAGCTGGTATTTTGCTTAGCTGTTCAAGAATTTTGTTTTTTAGTAATGGAATTATCTTTTCCTATTTATTTTGATTTTACCCAGCCTAGCTTGATGACTTATTTCTCATGAAGACTTGAAGTTCCCAGTGTCCCATTGAAATCCTCCTCTTACTAAGACCTTCAGCATTTATTATCTATCTTAAGTACCTGTTTGTTTAATAAAGTGTTTGTTGTAGTAGTCTAATTGTTACATACTTTAAAAAGTGAGACAACTTATGGATACGGACCAACTCACATTTTTGTTTTTCCTTTAGTTGCTAGCACAGAGAAGGTGTAATGGGTATTTTGTTGAAAGAACAGTGCTACTTAGATGTGGGGGATTTTTGTCATTAAATAAATTCTGTTATGTTCATAATAATGTTTCTGTTTTTGTTTCGCAAATAGTTATCAGGCAGGAAAGGACTTGTGTGTTCTCCAGGATCCTTAGAACATATTCTAGTTGGAAAGTATCTTTATTAGATTTGATTTATGTTATATTTGATCAGCAGGGCAACAGGAACCTGATAAAGAAACAGGAGCCTCAGTTGATGAGGTAGCAAGACAATTGGAAAGACAAGCATTGGAAGAGAAAGAAAGAGATGATGATGATGAAGGTAAATAGTAAATTTGATTTTTGTGGTTGGAAAAGGAAGAAGATAAGACATTCTTTAAACAAAATCTACTTATTTGTCCATATAGTTTATGGTTCTCTGGTGTTTTAATTAACATTAAAGCCTCAGTGTCACAGATAAAAAGGAAAAGGTATTTACTAGCAATTCTTAAAAAGTTGGATAGGTTGAATGACTGCTCAAATTACACAGATCTCAACTTCTTAAAAATGTACTTGGTAAAATGCCAAGTAGGGGGTATTAAGATGAAATTGAAGGACTGCTGGGGCACCTGGGTGGCTCAGTTGGTTAAGCATCTGCCTTTGGCTAGGGTCATGATCCCAGGGTCCTGTGATCTAGCCCCACATTGCATCTGCTTCCTGCTCAGTGGAGAGCCTGCTTCCGCTCCCTCTGTCACTCCTCCTGCTTGTGCTCTCTCACTCTCACTCTCTCTCAAATAAATAAATAAAATCGTAAAAAGAAAAAAATTGAAGGACTATTTAACATTTATTGAACAACTAATATGTACAAGGCACTGTCCTAGGATTCTTTCACATGCGTTCTCATTTTACCTTTACAAAACCTAGCAAAATATGTGCTCTTCTCAGGAAATGATAGTTATTATGTCATTTGCCCAATGTGACACAACTAGTATGTGTAGAGTGGAGCCAAAGTTTCGAACCTAGAACCTGATTTCAAGTCTATTCCTTTTACTCTGTACAAAAGCTCCTTCTATTCTCAAGGAGTATATTGGAATCCTTTTATATAACAGAGTCCTACTCTATTCCCTGACCCTAGCTGCTTGTAGTATGTTGGTCCTATAAGATTTCTTAAAGATAGTAAATCTTGAAATTCTAGAAATTGATGCTATCAGTAAGACAGTGGAGGGAATATTTGCTATTCTATAGCCTCTTTTGGTAGAAGGGGTGATGGGGCTTTCCCATTCTCAATTATCTACTATTGCGACCTACTGCTCTTCCTTAACCACTGCCAACTTGGGCTTGTGTCTTCTAGTCCTTAGCAAAAAATACCTGCTGTACTTTGTCATGTTAGGATAATGCAGAGTAGTTGTTTCTCCTTTAGAAACATAAGCTCCCTGCCTTCAAGGAGTTTAGAGTCAAAATTTGGTGGAAAAAGTGCCAAGGTTCAAGAGAATAGTTAGCTTTTCCTTAAGCAAACCTCTTGTCCATTTTACCTTGGTTTGTGCTTCAAATTATGAACATATTTTGAGCTCTTAGCAAGAAAGGGGCTTGTAAACTCAAGCTTATATAATAGATTGCTGTGGACCTACTGTGTAGAGTATCACAATGTTAATCTTGAAGAGCGTTCTTTGTTCCATTGCTCTTCTATGAAGTTGTATGAATCTCTTGACATTGAAGGAGAAAATTTGTCAGGTTGGAAATCAGTGTTTTAAAGATGATTGTAGGACTATTGGTTTTCTCCAATTGAGTTATTTTCCTATTTGCTTCAAAAATCAGTATCAGTACTACTAATCTGTTATGAGAGTTCTTTGAGAAGATGGAAAGTTAGTATTTCAGAATCTTTGTTCTAAAGGAAAACTGGTGGTGGTGTAGAGGGACAAAACAAAGGGAGGAAAAGATATACCAGTACCAGGACGCCTGGGTGGCTCAGTTGTTAAGCATCTGCCTTCGGCTCAGGTCATGATCCCAGGGTCCTGGAATCGAGTCCCACATTGGGCTCCTTGCTCAGTGAGGAGCCTGCCTCTACCTCTCCCTCTGCTGCTCCCCCTGCTTGTGCTTGCTCTCTCTCTCTCTCACAAATAAAAATCTTAAAAAAAAAAAAAAAGATCTACCAGTACCTGCAATAAAGTTTATTGAAATTTGGAGGTGGAATTGCGGGCTGAGTGCTGAAGGAAGACTCTTTGGAAGGAATGGGACTGGAATAAAACCAAACAGAAGAGACCACTTTGGGGCAGGACAATGCTGAGAATGTATTCCAAGTGTAGTGAATAGTGCAGACTGGCCATATGAGATGATTTATTGAAGGAACCTTGGAGCATCTTTAAAAGAAAGTTGTAGGGGTGCCTGGCTAGCTCAGTTGGTAGAGCATATGACTCTTGATCTCGGGGTCAGGAATTCAGTCCCCACATTAGGCATAGAGTTTACTTAAAAAAGAAAATGTTAAAAAGAGAGAAGACTGTTATAAAATATAATTTAGTCCTCATATATATGCAGGGTTGTTAGAAAAGAGGAAACATCCAGGAAAAACTTGGAGATCATTTTGGAGGGCACTTAACAGCCCAAGTATGTGATAATGATTATTTGAATTGGTGAGGGGCACCTGGGTGGCTCGGTTGAGCTTCCAACTCTTGATTTCAGCTCAGGTCATGATCTCAGAGTCCTGAGATTGAGCCCCATGTCAGGCTTTGCTTCCCCTACCCCCCCCCCCATGCATGCCTGTGAGCTCTCTCTCTCAAATAAATTTCTTTAAATAGGTGGGCATAAATGAGAATGCAAGGGAAGGATCCAGTGGAATAGTGGTTGTGGAAGCAGTATTCAAAGGACTTAAAGGACTTTAAATCGGGAGAAGGAAGGAGAGGCATAGGTAGACTCTAGAGATTTGAACTTGGTGACAGAATATTGGTGCTGTTCACTGAAATTGTGAAGCAGAGAGGGAGAGTGGGTTAAGAGACTGGGGGAGGGGGGTGTAGCAAAGAAGAAGGTATTGAGTTAATTTTAGATGTGTTTAATTTGAAACTGGAGTATGAAAAGTTAATCCTGTGGGCATTTAGCATTGTGCTAGAAGTAACAAATTCGATAAAGTTTTAAGTCAAATTTATTAAGGTGTAGATGGCCCAGGACTATATTCACTATTTTCAAAAAATAGACTATGTTTTAGAACAGTTTTACTTAGGTTCACAGCAAAATTAAGCAGAAGGTATAGAGATTTCCCATATACTCCCTACCACCACACATGCATAGCCTCTCCCATAATCAGCATCCCCCACTGGAGTGGTGCATTTATGACAATGGATGAACCTACATTGACACATCATTATTGTGCCAAGTCCATCGTTTATATTAGGTTTACTCATGATATTGTACATTCTATATATTCACCCTTTATAAGTGTATAGTTTGGTGAGTTTTGACGAACGTATGCATTTGTGTAACCACAACCAGGATATAGACCATTTTCATTTAACATTTCCATCTCCACAAAAAAGTTCCCTTTTGTAGTCCATTCTCTTGCTCCATACCCTGATCCCACACAACCATTGATACATTTTCTGTTATGTAGCTTTTTCTACAATATCGTATAAATGGAATTATTATAGTGTGCAGCTTTTTTTGGCTTATTTGCCTTAGCGTGATACTTTTGAGAGTCATCCAGCTGCATATGTATCATTACATTTTATTGCTGAGTAGTATTCCAAATTTGTTTACCTACTTACTAGTTGATGGATATTCGGCTTGTTTCTAGTTTTTGTGTTATGAATAAAGACAACATTTGCATACAAGTCTTTGGGCATAAGTTTTCATTTCTCCTAGGTGAGTACCTAGGAGTAGCGTTGCTGGTCATATGGGAAGTGTATGTTTAATCTTAAAAGAAACTATCACTGTTTTTCAGAGTAGCTGTATCGTTTTGCTTTCCCGTCAGCACTGGTTGAGAGTTCCAGGTTCTTTGTATCTCTTAAGCACTTGGTATTGTTAATTTTTAAATTAGCTTTTCTAACAGGTGTGCAGTGGGATGTCATTGTTTTAATTTGCATTTCCCTAATGACTGATGATGTTGAACATCTTTTCATGTTTTTGCCTTTCATATTTCTTTGGTGAAATGTTTGTTCATATCTTTTGTCCATTTTTCAGTTGGGTTATTTGTTGTCATATTGAGTTGTAGTGGTTCTTTATTCTTGATATAAGTTCTTTATCTGATATATGTTTTACCAATATTTTCTTTCATGCTGGTATTGTTTGCAGCAGAAAAGATTTTAATTTTGATGAAGTTCCATTTATTTTATTTCTTCATGGGTCATGTTTTTTGCGTGTTATCCAAAAAGTTAAATAATTGCTGTCTGTAGGGCCATGAAGATTTTTTTCTTATATTCTCTTCAAGAAGTTTTATGTATCCATTTAGAGTTAATTTTTGTATACAGTGCAAGGTAAGAACAGATTCCTTTTTTTTTTCTTGCATATAGCTGTCCAGTTTTCATTCAGCAAATATTACTTGATTTGGGTATAGGGCTAATACAGAAATAGATACAAACAGCCTCTGCCTGTTAAGAATATTCTGGGATGCTGTGAAAAAAAGACTTATAAAAACATAAATTGTGGCACGGTATAATGCATGGGAGTATAAGCATATATAGTTTGTATTTGGATCCAGGCTTTACTACTATCTTGCACAAGAGTTCAATAAACAGCGGCTATTATCCTATACTGAATACAGACCTTGAACACTGGATGAAGTAACTAGCCTCAGAAGGATGATTGAGTATCAAAGGAAGAGCTTCATCTTCTCTCATTTAAAAGATGAAGAGACCATGGGAGAGAGAGGCTAAATAATTTGCCCAAGGTCACAGAGCTGGCAGGATTTTTAGTATGTATTTGAAACTGGTTAGGGGTGCCTGGATGGATCAGTTGGTTAAGCAACTGCCTTCAGCTCAGGTCATGACTAGGGTCCTGGAGTCAAGTCCGCATCGGGCTCCCTGCTCAATGGGGAGTCTGCTTCTGCTTCTGCCTGTTGCTCTCCCTGCTTGTGTTCTCTCTCTCTCTGACAAATAAATAAATAAAATCTTTAAAAAGTAAGTAAATAAAACTGGTTATACATTCCTTTTAAGATTTTATTTACTTATTTTAGAGAGAGCACTTGTGCTCTTGTGCACAAGGGCAGGGCAGGGGCACAGAGGGAGAGGGAGAAGCAGACTCCCTGCCAAGCAGGGAGACCTATGTGGGCTCAGTCCCAGGACCCTGGGATCATGACCTGAGCTGAAGGCAGACGCTTAACCAACTGAGCCACCCAGGCGCCCCTAAAACTGGTTATACATCCTGAAGCATTTGTTTTAGGTTGGATCTAGTGTATGTAGCAGTATGCTAGGCATTGAAGGTTCTTCCAGAGTAAAGACTATCTTGTTTGCTATTCTGCCCCTATAACCTGGCACTTAAGAACTCAGCAACATTTATTGAATGAATGAAGGTTACTATTAAAATTGTAGTGCAGAGTATGTGAATTAGATTATATGACACATGAGGAAATTGAAAGTTGTGTTTTGGGCTTTTGAATCTGGAAACCAATAATGAGTAAGTCAGTCATATTTGTGTGTTTCCACTGTGTTCCTGTTTCCTGTACCCAATTCATAAGACTGAACATAAATTGCAATTTTGTGGGCATCTGGCTGGCTCAGTTGATAGAGCGTACAACTCTTGATATCAGGGTTGTGAGTTCAAACCCCACATTGGGTGTAGAGATTACTTAAAAATGAAAATCTTAAAAAAAAAAAATGAGGGGTGCCTGGGTAGCACAGTGGGTTGAGTGTCCGACTCTTGATTTTTGGCTCAGGAAATGATCTCAGGGTTGTGAAATCAAGCCCCACGTTGGGCTCTGTGCTGAATGTGGAGCTTGTTTGGGATTCTCTCTCTCCCTCTTCTCTTCTTCCCTCCCTCCTTCCCTCCCTCTCTCCCTCTCTGTCTTTCTCCCTCCCTCTTGCTCTCAAAAAAACAAATTAACAATAATAATAAAAGAAATTGCAATTTCGTAAGTAAAAAATTGTCAAAAATTGGCAGTTTCCTGTCATTCAGTCCATTAAAGCCCTATATCATGTTACCTCCCTCTTTGCTAAACTGCTGTTTCCTGTTTCTTATTTAGGTGAAAAAAAGCAGGATAAAATAAACTAAAAGAACATTCATTTGTTGAATAGAGTGAATATTTATCACATGCTTAGTCCTGTCTCTTAATTTAGGAAATGCTATGTAATCTTTAAGGAGCTCACATACAAGTAGGGGTCATTGTAAGCCCCTAATCATTTTGTAAAAATTTAAGAAAAAAGGTTGCAATTTGGTGTGATAGTTAGAATATAATGGTGAGAAGATCTCTTTTTTGGCTCCTGCTTATCAATCTGGGAGTAAAAAGGGTGGAGGTCTTTGATTAGAAAATGTAAACAGTCATTTGAGATTGTTTTATGGGTATGGATTTCATGATCTAAAATTACTGATGGTAGCCATGAGTTACTGCCACTATGTGAAACATTTAAAAGACTGTATGGTGAACATACTATTAAACTGTCAACTTCTAATTGTCTGCCACAGCTTCGTATTCATTCCTATTTCATATCAGTGTGATTTGGGGGTAGGTTGGTGTACTTCATGATTGTTGAAATTTATTGAGCAGTGTTTTTAGAAATTCAGACCCTTCAGTCTATTTTTGATTCTTTATTTAAAATGTTTTAAGTCACTATTTATTTAGTCTTGGCCATAATAGCATTCTTTATCTTTTCTCCAAGTTCAAGAGTATGGTATGGACTTCATAAAAGATTGTTATAAAAACTGACAGGCAGGGGTGCCATGGTGGCTCAGTCAGGTAAGCATCTGACTTCGGCTCAGGTCATGGTCTCAGGGTCCTGGGATCGATCCGCATGTCTGGCTCCACGCTCAGCGGGGAGTCTACTTATCCTTCACCCTCTACCCCACTCATGCTCTCTCTGTCTCTCGCTCAAATAAATAAATAGAATCTTTAAAAAAAAAAAAAGTGACAGGCAGATACTGGCTATTTTGGGTACTCTTTTTGTCAACTTTGGCTTGAACTCGACCCTGAGATCAAGACCTGAGCTGAGATCAAGAGTTGGACACTTAACCGAATGAGTCAGCCAGGTGCCCCTTGCAAACTATTTTTTGAAACAATTCTTAATCCTCATTTTTGGGCATCGGTTCTTTTGAGCATCTGAGAACTGTGAACCTAGGAAGAGCATATATGCCCTCTGATTTTTGTATATAATTTGATCCAGAAGGAGAACTCTTTTTCTCTAATAATAACTATGCAGGAAAAAATATTTTAAAATATGATACCTCAAATACTCCTCCCTGATTAGTAATCAGGCGACATATTCTTGGTCTGGTTCTGCCATTTACTAGTTGGGATTTTCTTGGGCATGTCCCTTAAACATTGTTTTACCTCATAAAATTGCTTTGAGGATCACATGAGATCATGAAATACAACTGTTGAACCACAAAGCATACGTAAGCAAACTAGTTTATTTTAGGTAAAGTCACACAGTCATTATTATTGGTATTAAACTAACACTAGTTCTTTTTCCTAGCTTTTGAAAGAGTGGTAACACATTTTTTATTCTTAAGAATATCTTATTCAACAATTCTTTTATTAGAGTAAGTCAAAGTAAAGTTTCCTTAGTGCTTTTGATTACACAAGTCAAATTCTGATACATTAGCAATATTCAGAATTCTTTTCTAAGAATATTGGGTCAGTTTTATATCCTATTTAAGATTCTTTGTGTGTGTGTGTGTGTGTACTTGTCTGCTTGTGCTTGCTTTGTTCCTCTGCTTATGAGGTTTAAATAAATATGTACTTGAAATGCCCTTTTCCTAGATGGAGATGGGGATGGAGATGGAGCAACTGGAAAGAAGAAGAAAAAGAAGAAGAAGAAGAGAGGACGTTAGTGTCTTAAGTTGATCTTACTTGACAAAAAGTGTTTATTAAGCAGCAGGTTTGAAGAGTAGGTTTGAAGTTGCGTAAGATCCCATTGTATGTCAAGGAGATAAATTTAGGCTTACTAGAGGTGGAATTTAATGAAACCTACAACTTTTTTCATTTAACAATCTGTTGGTATTTTCTTTACCTATTATTGAGCTAAGGGATGTTAATAATAAGTTGGTTGCATTTTACTGCAATTTTAGGAAAGAATTTATAATTTAAAACTTGAATAATACAAGTAACAGTTCTGTCAGGGATGAGTAAAGTGGTACCACTGTGCGTAATAGGATAAACATAGTTTGCAGTTCACCTGCAAGCTTTGAAATTACGAGATTCTTGGTAAATATTTAATGAGGAGTACGATTATTTAAAATCTGTGCATATGGTTAAATTTTATTAATAACATTGTACTATTTCATATTTACTTAAAATATCCTGCTTGTGTTTTGTTTTTATAAATGGCAAACCAAACCTCTTCAGGGACCTGAAATTCTATTAGGGAGACCAGGGGGAGATTGTATAATAGTGGGGAATAAAGGTTGGGTTGAGAATCAAAGCAAGTTCTGATCTTGGATGCCCTTTGGGCTATAGGGACCACTGAGTATCTGGTTATACCTTCCTTTAAATCTTTCAGGCTAAAATTTTATGAATCGGAATAGTGGAGGCTTCGTTCATTTTTATCTCTATGTTAAGAGAAGTATTCTTAAATATTTTTTAAGAAAGGTTTTGGCTCTATCAGCAATTTTCCTGATGTGTCTTCAGATGAGGATGGGATAGCCTTTTTTTCTATTCAGGCATCTATTTTTAGATCCTTCTAGTCATAGGATGTCAGTTCTATCCCTAGCATAGTCTGTATTTAATGAGCACAGGTTACCTGTGTTCTAGGAATCTTCCAGGGATTGTGATGTCATATTCCTTCCATTCAAAAATTGTTAGAAGTGTCCTCGTGAGACATGGTGTTACCTGAGAACGGCTTGAGAGAGAACTATTTCTCCCAATACTCTTAAATTACTCCCTAATGAAGGTAGGTAAGCAGGGAGGAATGTTAAGGGACTATTTTGTATTTGCCCTTGGTAAAATTCTTCCACTGACAGATGTTTTAGTGTGATGCCATCATCTTTTATTGTGCTTTCTCTGAGGATGTTGTTGAACTTACTGTTCATTATATTTCTTTATGAGTACTCTGAAGAGACAGTCTTTTGTCTGGTCTTGGTATCAAGAATAATTGTGCTTTTCCTGAGTACTTTATGTGCTTATCTCATAAACGTGACCCATGCAAGTAATCTAGCCCCTTTTTTTTTTTTTTTTTAATATTGGCTACTAGAGGGCTTAGAGCCAAAACTGTGGTTTTGTATTGGCAGTATTTCAGGTTCCATTTTATGTTCTTTCCATGTTTTGATTTTTGTTCTCTAATTTACTGTCTCTTATTTGTGTATTTTAGATATCCTTGTAGACTATCATAAATCACTTCTGGAATAAGCCAAATAATGTAATTATGGACTGTTCACTGCCCTCATTTTCCTCATCTATAAAGTGAGAGAATTATAAGTAATAGTTAATGGTAACTGCAGTACAGATTGTTATAATTATGCATAGTTTTAGATAACAACTTGGACATAGTGTATTATAATTTTCAAAGGTTATCCAAGATTTCATCTGGTTCTTCATTTTGTAGATGAGGAAACTGAGGCTTGGCACATCTAGCCATTTGTCCAAGTCACAGTTAATAAGTGGTTAAGGCTAGACTTCAGTTCTCATATTTTAATTACAAAACTTTTCTCTAATGATCTTTTTGAGTCTTTTATTTTGTCTTAAGAATTTATGGACAATATAAAAGGCATCTTTATCAGAATTGTAGATGAGATAAAGCTGAGGGTGACACCATAATACTTTGGTTGATAAAAGTCAAGATTTCAAAAGATCAGGAAAACTGAGAAATAGGCTAGTATTAAGCTGAAATTTAGTAGACATATATAATGTTAATACAGGGTGATAGGATCTAAGGATTTTAAGTGCTAGTATAATGTAAGCCAAAAAGCAAGGAGTCGTAACTATTTAATAGCTTAGGATTTTTAGAATCAGTAGTATAGTCTTAAGCTAATTATACCTTATTTGGACTATTATTACAAGTCAATATACCACCTTAAAAGGAACATTGACAAATTCAAGGTTGGCAAATAGGGGTGAAAATGTTAAGAACTATATCCCTTAAAGTGGTTCCTCATCATAGTGAGGAAGGAATCAGTAGAAATGAAAAGTAAAATATGTGTAAAGCAAAATTAGATGACTTCTTAAGATCTTTTTTGATTTTAAATTCTAATGTTCCCTCTTAGGAAGAACCTAAAGCAGTGTTTCCCAAGTTGATTTGCCCATAGAACACTTTTAAACATTAGGTAAAGACAGAAAAATGTTTGATGCTCATGAGATACTGAGTGTTTGAATTAAAAGAAGGAACCAAAACGTGGTTCCATAGATAAATGATTTGGCTCAATAAACGGTTATACTTTTATTTATATAGGTCTTTTTTTTCCCCCATTGCAAAATAAAGAGAGAAAAATAGGTGTTAAAATTTAAGACACACAAAATCCATAAGACCAGTTATAATCAAAAGGAAACCACATATTTCACCTCAGTAGTTGAAATGCTGCAGATATGCTTTTAATGTCCTATATTGCTGCATAAGTTAATACACTCCACTTCTGGCATTTTTTGGAAACAGTGTTCATTACTAAAGGGCAGTTCTTCATATAATAAGAACTCTATAACCAGTTCTTATATACTTAAAAAAAATTTTAGAAGACAAATCTCCAGATATTTTTAAAAATCATCTTGGAACACTGGTGTCTTTTAGAATATAGTTTGGGAAATAATGTCCTTAAAACGTATGCTAAGGACTATAACTTTTTTTAAGTATCTGGAAATTTGTTATATGGCTACCTAAATTCTTTTAGCACTGGGTGTGTATAACTCTTAACTTTTATACCTAATATACCCTTGAAATAAGTTTTTCACTTATTTTATTAATACATAATAGCTTTATATTTTTACCTCATTGCTATAGGGTTTTTTCCATACTTTCTTGTTGCCTCTTTGATTTTTATTTGTGAAAACCAGCCTCTCTATGCTGTTCCATTTCCGGTATAGTATATAAAGACAAAAATATTAGAAATGTGCTTTCTGCCGAGGCATATACTGTTTAAATACATAATAGAATTCTAAGTAGTTGAGTATTCTATTCCCAAGCAACAGTAAATTGGAGAGGAGGTGGCCAGCATGGTGAAATATCTTCTGTTTTTAACTACAAGGCTGTGATAGCAAGGAGGTTCCTTAAAATTAGGACATATAACAACCATTAGGAACTGAGAAAAACTGTAATGATAACTGCTTAATTTTATTTTTAACTACAGAAGTTAATGCTTTATTTGTATCTCACAGCAAAAGTTCAAACAGACCCTCCCTCAGTTCCAATATGTGACCTGTATCCTAACGGTGTATTTCCCAAAGGACAAGAATGCGAGTACCCACCCACACAAGATGGGTAAGAATCATAAAATAACTTCCAGTTTGACTTTGAAAGTTGTAGCTTAGCAATAAAGATTTGATTTTTCTCAGAACTTTGCTCCACTAACTTAATAAAAGCTTGTGAATTTGTTACAGAAAATACAGTAGAAGCCCTCTTATCCAAAATGATTGGGACCAGTAATAGTTCAGTTAATCAGAAAAGTATGTTAAAGTGGGGATCACAAAACATAAAAATCTTTATTGATAAAAGTTAACTTAAATTTTGTTTTTCATCAGTCTCAGTATTTGAACGTAGATTTGTATTGTACTCCACTTTTTTCTTCCCATAATCTATATCCATAACGCATTGTCTATAAATGTAATCCATTTTGAGCTTCCGTGAAGAATAAAAGCTAAGTAATCTGAGGGCTGATACCTGGATGTTTACATTTTTTTCCTGAAACCATTTGCAGTTCTTATCTACACTTAATTTGACAGAAGTATTTTTTGATGACTTGCCTTTATTGAGACTTTTCTGAGTAGTCAGTTTAGTTTCATTGGAAAATTTTTTTTTATGTACTATATAACTAAATTACATAATTATACTAACAAGTACAGATGACTTACAGTGGTTTGCAGACAAATCACCTGATTGTTGGGAGACAAATCACCTGATTCAGAAAGGATACATTTTAGCTGGTCAACAGACACTCATAGTGGCATTATGCTGACTGGTTAAGAACATGGAAGCTGGGATTCACTTGAATCCCAGCTCTAACACTTATTAGCTTTGTGACTTGGGCAAGTAATTTATCATGTCTTTGCTTTCATTTCTTCATCTATAAAATGAGCACTTTATAGGGTTGTGAGGAATAATAATATATGTAAAGCACTTAGGAGAGTAACAGACACATAGTAAGCATTAAGTGTTAGCTGCTGCTGTTATTATTATTCAGAACAGGAACCTGTCAGCCTGTCATATTCAGCATACAATGGGCATAGGTTAGTATATTTTACAGAGAGAATCAAGAGCATCATTTAATCCAGTGGTTGCAATAGTTGGTTAAGAAAGCTTCTACTGTAGCCGTGTTTCATTGATCTGTAAAGACATCATTGTTTTTCTTTAAACTTTAGGAAAGAACATGATGTTGTTATATTTTAATCCCCCTCCTTCATTCCCAGTACTTTTAGGGAATAAGTATAAAGTTCTGAAATTGTATGTCATGAACATCTTTTCTTTGAATTTGAATTCATCAGTCACTATCCCTCTCTTAAAGTGTCTATTTTTGAAATGTCACAGACATGTAATTTCACATTAATTAACTTACAGTTTCATAGTACATATAATCACATTTATTTTTAAATACAATCTTTATTTATTTGTTTTGCTTGTTCCCTCTTCCTTCCCTTCCTTCCAGACCCATGTAACGACCTAGCAGGTAGCCTTCCATATTTTTATACACTCATATATGTGTACATCTATGTCTGTTTATGTGAAGGGACTCTTTTGGTCTTGTTTTCCAAAATGGAATCCTAGGCACACTTTCCTCATCTTTTCTCTTTCAGGACTATCTCTTGGAAGGCCCTCCAAGTCAGTCAGAATAGCAGTTATTCTTTTGAATGGCTTCATAATATTCCATAGTGTGAATATGCCATACTTTATTCCACCATTTTCTAATTGATGAGCCTTCATTTTGTCTCTGTTTTGTCATATTACAAACCATTCTGTAATGAACATTTCTAAGACTATACATATACATATACATTATTACATATATACACACACACACACGTGTGTGTGTATTATCTCTTTATGTTATGGCAGTTTTATTATGGGATAGTTTTCCAGGAGTTGAGTTGCTGAATCAAAGAATATATTAATACTTTAGCTTATGATTCCCAGACTGCTAATGATTTTGAGCACTTTTTGATTGTTGGCTTTATTCTTTTGCTCTTCCAAAAGTTTTAAAATTTTGTATACAGTGCATGTTTATGTTTTATATTTCTGGGTTCCTAGCAGTCTCTTAGATTTTTTTTCAAACTCTTACTCTGTGTTTTATTACATCTTTAGTTAGTCTGGAATTTTTTTTGTGTAGGACTGGGAGTGCTAATTTTATTTTCTTTCAAATGGATAGCCAGTTGTGCTAGAATTGTTTATTAAATAATTCGTTCTACTGAATTGAATGACCACGTTTGCCATATACTATATTTTCATATAATGGAACTATATTTTCATAATGAACCAATGCCTATTATTCTACTGATCTATTTGTGTATTCCTATGCTAGTACTATTTGGATCTGATTATCAGCAACTTTATAATATATATTGATAGTTTGATAAGGCAAGTCTTTCTCTGCCACACACACCAAGCACAGTTCTTTTTTATATTTAGCTATTCTCATATAGTCTTAACACATATACCCACAGAAAAATGCTTTCTTTAGAATTCTGATCAGAGTTGCATTTATGTATTTGTTTCAGAAAATTGACAGTTGTATCACATTGTCTTACCTATTGTCATAGTATGTTTTCCCACTTAATCTGATTTATTTTCAGGTAGATCCTGTTCCTTTTTTGTTAAATTTATTCTTAAGTATTTTATGGTTTTGTTACTGATGTAAACAAGATGTTTTTATACCTGTTTCCATTTCTATATGTTTATTGCTAAAGTGGAAGAAAGGCATTGATTTCCTATACTTATTAATAGATTGTTAATATTTTTAACCATGTGAATGTGGTGGAACACTTGAAGTAATGTTTAATACAAGAAAAATTGAGATTTTAGAAATGTTAAAGACTACCTTTCCCTCCTTACTGTCATTTTCTATTGCAAATTAAACATTACGGAGGTAGAATAACTTTTGCTTTTGAAACAATAGAGGAAGATATTAATTATATAATATTTTTGGAGTAATACTTAAATATTGAAAAGCAGTGTTGGGGGCACCTGAGTGGCTCAGTCGTTAAGCGTCTGCCTTCAGCTCAGGTCATGATCCTAGGTCCTGGGATTGAGCCCCACATCGAGCTCCCTGCTCCAAGGGAAGCCTGCTTCTCCCTTTCCTACTCCCCCTGCTTGTGTTCCCTCTCTCGCTGTGTCTCTCTCTGTCAAATAAATAAAATCTTTAAAAAAAAAAGAAAAGCAATGTTGTATGCCATGGAGAGAGAAAAAAAAATTATTGTGATTATGTTTGCTCTTTAGTAAGTTTTGATATTTTTGACATTCATATAATCAGTTTTGATTATTTGCAAATACATCAGAATCAGTATTCTTAATACTTGGTAAAATGTTAAATATAGTTTTGTATCTGCCTTCATTTTTTTTTTTTTTGTTTTCATTTAAATTCCAGTTAGTTAACATACAGTTTCAGGTGTACAACATAGTGCAAGTGCACTCCTTAATCCCCATCACCTGTTTCACCCATCCCCCACACCTCCTCCCGTCTGGTAACCATCAATTTGTTCTCTATAATTAAGAGTCTGTTTCTTGGTTTGCCTCTCTCTCTCTTTTTCCCCTTCCTTTTTTTTTTTTAATAAACTTACTGAACATTACATGAATTATCACAGCTTGCCTCTGTAACAACCACTCAGGTTGAGTACAATATTTTATTTTATTTAACTTTTTATTTTTGAAATAATTCCATATTAAGAGAATAGTACAAAGAGTTCCTACATACCTTTCATTCAGGTTCTCTTTAACATTTGCCTCATTTATCGTTCTCTCTCCCAATGGACTATGACAATTATACATATACTGTATAATAGTAAGATTACATTTTCTCCTTGCAAGATAGAAGGTAAATGTGGAAAATAATATATTGGTGAATCTGTATACATACTACTTTTTCTGAATTATTTGAGAGAAGTTTGTATATTTTTTAAAAGATTTTATTTATTTGAGAGAGCGAGCATGAGCAGGGGCAGGGGCAAAGAGAGAGGGGAAGGGAGAAGCAGACTCCCCACTGAGCACAGGGCCAGCCTGCCTAGATCACAACCTGAGCCAAAATCAGAAGCTTTTAACAACTGAACCACCCAGACACCCCAGTAGTTTGTGTTTTTTGGATGGAATACTAGACAAGTAGATAATTCAAGGTTGTCACATCTGGAGGCACATGATGTCAGATTTTATCACTAAGATAAGTATTATCCAGTTTCTCTAGTTTGTCATTACTGTTTTTCCCTCTTGTAATTAGTAATTTTCCCTTTTAAAAAAATTGACATTCTGTGTGCATTTCCTGTGTCATTAAAAATTTTTTAAACCAATTTTGAATGATTATGCTATTCTGCTTTATACTTAGCATAATTTTATTAGTGATTTCCCTGTTTTTGAATATTTCCCTAGTTTTTTCATATTTTTACCATTAGAAAAAATTCTGTGATGAACATCTTAGTATTAATCAGGTCTGATTTTTCTCTTATTCTGGATCTCTAGAAGTAGAATGAAGAATTACTTTGAAATTCCTGATACCTATTTCTAAATGTACTAGGCAGTTGTTTGGGACAGTTTTTCTATAAGCAGTACATATCCATTATAGAAGAGGTAGGAAATACAGATAAGCAAAAAGAAAAAAAGAAAAATCTTCTAAATTCTGCCAATGAATTTTAAAACCACTATTGACATGCTATTTCTTCCTCTGTTGCCTCTGTATACAGATGTGTATTATAAATACCTGGGAATGTTTTTCAAGATAGAACTATACTAAAAACAGCTTTGTAACCCATTTCTAAATTTGTTTTCATGTTAGTAAAGAAATCAACAGTATTTTTATATGTCTCTGTATATGTATGTGTTTTCTTTTTTTTTTTTGCTAGACCATTTAAAAATGTCTTTTTTTTTAAGTTAAATCTCCAATCCCCACATGGGGCTTGAACTCATGACCCCAAGATCAAGAGTTGCATGTTCTACCAACAGAGCCACCCAGGTGCCCCAAGTCTCTTTTGAGTCCTCACTTCTAAAAACTTCAAGCATCTGGGTTGCCTGGGTAGCTCAGTTGTTAGGTGTCCGACTCTTGATCTCAGCTCAGGTCTTTTTTTTTTTTTTTTTTTAATTAAGATTTATTTAATTATTTCAGAAGGAAGGGTAGGGACATAGGGAGAGGGAGAAGGAAAGAAGCAGACTCCCCTCTGGGAGCTGAGCCTTTCAAGGATGGATCTCACAACCCTGAGATCATGACCTGAGCCAAAATCAAGAGTTGGAAGCTTAACCGACTGAGTTGCCCACGTGCTCCTCAGCTCAAGTCTTGATCTCAGGGTCGTGAGTTTGAGCCCCAAGGTGGGCTCCATGCTGGGCGTGGAGCCTACTTAAGAAAACAAACTTTAAGTATCTCCCAAGAATTAGATATTCTCCAAATTATCACATTTACATAAATTAACAGTAATTTTCCAGTATCATGTAAATACCTACATATTTAGAATTTTATTGTTTTCCTTGTGGTGTCATTTATCTTTTCTCTATTCCTTTATTTTCTATAAACTGGAATTAGTTGTAAAGGAGTACATTAGATTAAGCACTTTGGCAGGAACATATAAGTGATACTATGTTCATATTGTGTCATAGTCTGTTGCATCAGATGTAGTGTCAGGTTTTTCTATTACTAGTTTTACTGTATTTGATCACTTGGTTAATGTGGTAACAGCCAACTGTTTCTTTTTTAAAGGTTCTTTTTTCTTTTTTGCAGTTTCCAAGTAATCTGTGGGGGTAGTTTGGTACCACTGGAATATCCTTTTCTTCAACAACTTTTTACTTAATTATTTTAATATCTATCCATGCATTATCAGTTATTTCATTGGGGACTGCAAAATGGTGAATTTCTAATTCTGTTGTTCCTTCTACATTTATTAGCTGACCTATAAGAAGAATTTTCCTTTATCAGCTGGGTATCAATTAACTTTATCAGTTAACTATAGTTTCTTATAGGCAGAGTTAAAACATGCTTTATTTTTCCCTTTTAAGTACCAGTTTTCAGAGGAAGGAATTGGTGTCATGTCTGTGTGCGTTCTTAATTATTTCTGGGTTAAAGACATGCCTTTTTATTTTTTTATTTTTATTTTTTAAAGACGTGCATTTTTATTTTATTTTTTATTTTTTTATTTTTTTAAAGATTTTATTTATTGACAGAGAGAGACAGAGAAAGAACACAAGCAGGGGGAGTGGGAGAGGGAGAAGCAGGCTTCCCGCCAAGCAGCGAGCCCGATGCGGGGCTCAATCCCAGGACCCTGGGATCATGACCTGAGCCAAAGGTAGACGCTTAACAACTGAGCCACCCAGGCGCCCCTAAAGACATGCATTTTTAAATGTTTTTTTTTTTTATAAATGTGGCATATAGTGCTTTAAAAATATAAATATAACTAGCTTTTAAGTTATCTATGCGATGAGTTCAGAAATGTTTATGACTTTGAAATTAATAATTGGATTCCTTTGTATCTTTTGGTTTTACTTTTATGATTTTAATCTAGTAAAAAAGATGAAAAACTGAAAAGACTCAAATATGAAAGAGGTGTGAATTTACATACTCTGTAAACACTTCTATAAAGATTCTCTTTCAAGCAGTTACTCTGTTTTGTTGCACAGACATAATAAAATTTAAAAGCATTTCTAATCCACCTCTGTCAGTTGGATGAATTAATTGCCCTTTCAGATAATTATTACGAGCTCAGAATGTTTTTTTCATCTTACTAATTTCTCTCTTCTTGCTAAACAGACTGAACATCAAAATATTAAATTTAGGAAGGAGGAGAGGCTCCTTCATAATATTTTTTGTAAATAGTACAAGCTTGGAATTATGATTTTAGATGCTTGAATATTACTCTAATGACTTTCAATTTGAACTTAAGACTTAGACAAATAATTTCTTTAATCCATTTTCTGATTGGTAACTCTACCAATAATGAACATTCAAACCTTTCAAAGAATTCACTGCTTCTAAGAATCAGCTGTGCAGCTTCAGAAGTGTAAGATCATGTGAGGCTTGTTGATTTCAGTATTGGGGATCTTCATTGTACTATATTCTGATTCTAAAATGTAGTCAAATAGCATTTGGAACTTAATTATGCTTAACATTTTAACCTATAAGAAGTGGATTTGAAGAATTGAGAAGAAATGGGAATTGATAATGACCAATTTCATTTTCATGGCTGATATCCATCAGTTATAGTCTGTCATCTTACCATTCTAGAGAAAATGTTTGAGGATATTTTTGCTTTTCACGAAAATGTTTGGCTTTTGAGGCAGGGGTATGCATATAGGTATGGCTGTAGTATATGTGCCAGAGTTATGGCCCATGTAAGAGATGGAGAATTGTGATATGTTTAAAAATTGATCTGAGACCTTACCCAGTACTCTTATGTCTGAAAATGATTTGTCCTTAGAATATTCGGATTCTTGGTTCCCAGGGAAGATTTTTGGATTCATGGGAGAGAAAGGACTGGGGTTACATCTGGAGGTCAGGAGATTGTGGCTTGTCTGTCCCATCATGGAGTAAGCAACTATAAGTGTATTGCAGCTGAAAACAAGGTTGAGCCACATGTTGAGAATATACTTTTAAAGGATCTTATCCTGTTACCTTCTAGTCTGAGGATGTTCATTTGAATACTTTTATTAGAAATTGCCTCTTGAGTCTTCACTGTTCTGATAAAAGTAGTTCGTACACATTTAAATGTTTGTGGAGTTTAAAACTGATAACATCAGTATACAGATCCAAAATACATTTCCAAACAAAATAAGTCAAAGAAGCCTCTGTGATGCTTAAGTATCCCTAAATTGACATAGGGCAGCCCCTTTGCATCTTTGTAGTGAATTAGAGGTGTTAGTTGTTGGCACACAGGTAACTGCTGCAGTAGGAAGTGATCATAATGAACTTGACAGTGACACAGAAAAACTCACAGCATTTGGGGGCATTAACTTAGGGGCATAGTGTAGAGCAGTTGTATAAACTCTTTCTTTAAAGAGCCATATAGTAAATATCTCAGGCCTTGGGTGTTACTCAGATCTGCCTTTGTAGCATGCAAGTAGCTATAGACAGTGTGTAAACAAATGGACATAACTATATTGGGGTAGAATTTTATTTACAAAACAGGTGCTAGGCTGGATTTGCCTTCACTTTGCCTCCCTTTCCTTGAAGGCATCACTTTTATAACTGAATATAATTTATATGTCGGTGATCAGAGTTTGTGAGCTATATATTCAATATTGCTTAGTGTGTGAAAGTTCAACAATGTTTTTGAAAGATTTTCATTTGAAAACAGTTAATTGCTTTTGAAATACGCTGCTTAAAGGGAGTCAGTTGATCTCCTCCTTCCCAGATACTGAATAAAAATGTTTGTTACTCCTGGAAGTTTTAAAATATGAGCCATATTCTTCAAGGAAGATCACTTCATAGATAGATAGATTAGATTAGATAGATATGTAGATATATTTACATACACATACATACAGTTAGAAAAATCCTACAAAAACACATTTATGTTTTGAGGGAGGTGTATGTAGATTTCCAGGTCAAGTTTTTGCATTAGTACTTACCCTGTGTATGAAGTTAAATGCTAATTTTTGGTGTGGTCTTTTGAAGTCTCTTAGACTGTAACCTTGAGTGGAAGGATGACTTTTTTCTCCCACTTCTTGGTTTCTAGGACTCTCTTCTGACTTCTTATTTTTTCTTTTTGTGTTTTTTTTTGTGTGTGGCAGAGTTTTAATCTCTCTAGGAATAAAATCTCGAGGATTATTTTTTGAGTCTTAAGGTTTAACTTGATTTGGCTTGATTGTGTGACTACTTGTATTTCAGAAACTTTGCTGACATTTAATAAAAGAAATTGAATGTGTAACATTTTTATCTAAAATGTCTTATATTAGTATATTTGTATCTCAGCTTTTATGTTTATCTTCTGTTTCTTAAATGACTAATACCATGCTGTACATACTATAAAGGCGAACAGCTGCTTGGAGAACTACGAGTGAAGAAAAGAAAGCGTTAGATCAAGCTAGTGAAGAGATTTGGAATGATTTTCGAGAAGCTGCGGAAGCACATCGACAAGTTAGAAAATATGTTATGAGCTGGATCAAGCCTGGGATGACAATGATAGAAATCTGGTAAAAGGAATATGTTTTTGTAAGAACATGATAAAATTTTTTTTTAGTACTGACTCCAGTTGTAATGTTTGTCTTTCATTACTGCTTTGCTAAAACCTGAAGTGAAGCTTCTAGAATTATCTCTTGAGTTCTTGTACTGTAGAATGTACTGAGGAAATTGTAAGAGGACATTTGTACCTCAACCACCCTATTTTGTGCTCATGTACACTTATATGTGCAAATGGACACATTGCTATGATTCTTACATTCTGTTTGAAAATCTGTTATTTTGCTATCTAACAATTCATATTAAATTAGAATTATTGGTCACGAAACATAGTTACAATGCAGTGAAGAAACCAATAAAAGTAATTTCTCTAGTTTTCCCTTTGAGAAGTAATTAGCTGTAAAAGGCAACAGTTCTCTAATTCAGACAATTTTTAAAATGTGCAACATTGAGCAAATAAAACATAATCAACATTTAAATTGAAGTCAAGAATCTCATTTCCTAGAAAACTAAGTTAAAAGTGGATCATGTGGTTCTGTTTCTTCAGATTTCTAGCAGAATTAAATTCTTTTATCTTTTATAGAGGAGCTACTATTTTCATAGCATCAGAGAACTGTTACTTATTCACATCCAGGAAGTGCTCAGATCACTCCCAGAAAGTAATTTAAGAGTTTTTAGTAAACTCTCTGGACCTGATGACAAGGTATATAATGATAAAAATGTAAAAGTAAACAATTTTTTTTTTTTTAATAGTGAAAAGTTGGAAGACTGTTCACGAAAGCTAATTAAAGAGAATGGATTAAATGCAGGCCTGGCATTTCCTACCGGATGTTCTCTGAATAACTGTGCTGCCCATTATACTCCAAATGCTGGTGACACAACAGTATTACAGTATGATGACATCTGTAAGATAGACTTTGGAACACATATAAGTGGTGAGTTCTTGGAAATAAGCCTTCTCCCACCCCCACAAAAAAACAGTCTTCTCTCTGTTCAATAGGGCTGCAGGTACTTGAATTCCCCAATTTTCTTCTTTATGCCTCACTTTTCAGTAGAGCTGTGTTGAGGCAGATTTTGAGATTTACTTTTAAGCATCCTGCTAAATGGAGTATAATGCAAACTGTGGTAGTTGAGGTTTATTATTATTTGTATCAAAGTGTGAAGAATTTAATCATACATTTCTTCATGTTGTTTCAGACATTTATCTGTTTAACAACAACACACATTTACTTAGATCCTTTAAGTTTATCAACTTTTATATACTTGCTGGCTTTTTTAAATTCTCCCCCAAACCTTCTTAGGTTAGTGCCTTTTTTATCTCACTTCAGGTGAGAAAATAAAGCTCAGATTAAGCACTTACCTGAGGTTTTGCTAAATTGGAGAAGCTGGACTGACGATTAGTGTCTGTGGACCTGTACATTTTCTCTGCCCACGTTGTGCTGCTTTAGTCCCCCCGGGGTTTTTCTCTTTGATTTATTTGTTTATAATTTTGCTTATCCACGTGAGTTAGTACTGAATTGGTACTGCCTTGAAGTAATATATACTAACACTGGAAATAGTCTTTTTATTCTGAAACCTTTATGTAACATATTTTTTTCCACTTTTGATTGTGAATGCTATCTGGGTACTTGGACTGTTGCCTTCATTTGACCCATCATTTTATTTTCCTTTTAACTAGCAAGGTTAATAGAGTAGATGCTGTGAAGTAGACAAATTGACTAGCTGATAAGTCAACTTAAGAATTTTCTCTTTCAGGTAGGATTATTGACTGTGCTTTTACTGTTACTTTTAATCCCAAATATGATACATTATTAAAAGCTGTAAAAGATGCCACTAACACTGGAATAAAGGTAAGTGAACGAGAAGCACAATTTCATTCAACATATTTTGAACATTTTATAGCCTGTTTAAGGTCTTTGGATTATGTAAGACCAGTCTTCTGCCCTTAGGGTTTTAAGTGGGTAATTCCAGTACAATGTACCAAAGACTTTTATAGAGGAAGTTATAATGTGCTAAGCAGTTTACTTAATTGTCCTTTATTTTAAAATACTAATAAATTGCTATAAAATTCTGCACTTTGAGTAACAAAGTATACATCATTTTGTTTTTAGTGTGCTGGAATTGATGTCCGTCTGTGTGATGTTGGTGAGGCCATCCAAGAAGTTATGGAATCCTATGAGGTTGAAATAGATGGGAAGACATATCAAGGTATGTTTTTAAAAAAAATGTATCTTATTTTGAAATGCATGTGACCTCTTGCAGAATTAATTTTGCAAAATAGTGTTGAGTGCTTTCTTTGAGTCAGCTGCTTTATCTTTATCTCCTGGGAATATAAAGAGGGGAAAAAATATAAAGGGGGGGAGGGGACAATGAATGACCTCCTCATATTAGGAAAACTGTGGTCACTAGGTGGGAACTATTGCGAAGCTACTGTGGTACCTGATGGGACACCCAGGGATTTATCCCAGATTGACCAAAATGCAGACTTGGTTTTCTGTGACGATTCAGATTGAGGCTCAGAGATAAACCAGAGGCTTTTCCATTGATGACCAGCCCCCCCCCCACGCCCCGCTTTTTTTGAGTTGAATTCAGAATTTAGAGTCCAGTTAATTTCTGTGTGTCTTTCCTTTAATCTTTATTTTCTTTGCCTCTTAGTCTTTCCTAGCTACCTCCTTAGGTACATAGTTCCAGAGTCACCTGTGCTTTCTGCTGCTTTCCTATCATTCCAGCCTTTCCCAGCTCTCAGGGTCTGACCACTATCTCCCTTCCTAATCTCACTGTTTTCTGTAACTGCTATTTTAATAACTTTCTCACGGAGTATTTCTTATATTTCCTTTAATCAAATCCTGTCTCTTCTTTATATTCCTCTTTGCAGAGACACTCTTCCTTGCCCTCAGTAAATTCACATCATTTAGCATTCTTTGCATAACTTGCTGATAGTGATAGAGTATTATGTTTCTACCAACTACAAAAGGGGTTCTTCCTCTGTGACCTGATGGCGGCTGTCCTTGTTGCTCTCTCTCTCCTGTGAACACCAGCACAAATCACAATACTCTTAAGGCTGCTCACACTTGGATGGGAGGTATTATGGGATAATGAAGAAAATATACTATAGGGTCAGATGGGTCTATCGATAAACCCTGTAAACAGAACCCAAGTTTCTTTGACTATAGTAGGATTAATGATACCATGTTTTTTTTTGTTTTTTGTTTTTTAAGAAAAGTAAATTTTATGACAATGCCTGGAATTTATTAGTATTCAACAAATTTGTCATTTCCTGCCCCCAGAGTTGGGATTGGTGCCACAACAAACAAAGGTTATTCAAGTCCCTCTCAAATCAGCTTTCCCTCCTATCTTTTCCTAATTCTACAGCTTTGGTTGGCTTCTGCTCTGCCTTTCAAGGTATATTAAGTGACAGTTTGACTTAATGTTTAGTCACCACATAACAATGCCAACCTGAAATACTGGAATCAGTATCTGCCTTCTTACTCTTTCCATTAAACCAGTGCAACGTTATAGGTTCTGTTGTTTCAGCACCCATTTTTTGATACCAGTTATTGTGTTGATCAAGGTTCTTAGTGGAGGGTGGCATAATTAATTAATTTTTACTACTTTGAGCAGAAAGGGTATAGACAAATCATGATGTTGGGAAGATGAAAAAAATGACGAAAAGCTGTACTTCCAGCAGCACTTTACACAATCACATAACAGAACTGAGCCATCAAGGGAGTGATTTTATTTACCTTGATCAGGAAGCTGCAGAATGTAAAGTTACCTTTATAGTTACTGGTCCCAGAATTAGCCTGCTGGTGTCACAACCTGTATAATATACAAACAGATACTCCTGTGCCCTGCTTCTTGTATGTAACTTGGTTGTATGTTAGGTTAGTATAGCTAAGCAATCTTTTTATGTAAATATGTTTTTGATTGGCCTGTGGGGTAAGTTTGCCAGGTCTTGGAGAAATAATGATGCTTGCTGAATTTTAAAGTAAATTTAGCTTATCATTTGTATAAGAAGGAGAATTTTTTTGAAGAGCTAATTGAGAGTTTTATTTTCCTGTGCCACCCCCTAAATATAATTGTCATTGTTTCATTGTTGTAGAGTTGAAAAAAAACCTTGCTGCCTAATTCTGCCCTGAGAGAAAGGTAGCTTGTACTGAGACTTCTAGCACTGTAAAGCTAGATTTTTTTTTAAATCTTTTTTTATTGTGGAATTATGTTGTGTGTGAAGAGACACAACATAAAAATTTAATTAAGTGGAATAGAATATTGCCAGCACTCCAAAAGCCCTTCAGTTCTGTATACCCTTTTGAATTACAGCAGTCTTCCTCTAGCAAACCCTGTTTGGAGTGCTAAAGTATTTTCATTTGCTTTTCTTAATGTCTTTACCACCTAATTATGCATCCCTAAATAATAGTATAATTGTGCTTAATTTTGATATGTATAATAAAACAATATGTATATAATTGTGCCTTCATCTGTTCTTTTTTTCTTCAGGTTTTATTTCAGTTGTTCACTGTACTCCCAACTTTTTGTTTTTGTTGTTGTGTGATGTTCTATTGTGTGAATATACCACAATTGGTTCTGTCATTGGTCTGAGGACCTTGGAATTGTTTAGATTTTCCTTATTAACACTTGAGCTGTGCTATAATTATAAAATTTAGTTTTATAATCCTGTCATTTGGACACAGAATCCTCTCATTTTCACATTACTTTTTGGACCATAACTATATTTTTTGTTTGTAATCACAATGTACATGGCATTTTATAACTTTTATTAACAATACCTCCTTAGATGCATCCCCATTATATCCTCATAACATAGTTTGTTCTTTTCCCATCATCTCACCTTCCTCCCTTCTAGTTTTTAATCAGTAACACTGTAGTAAACATCTTTTCATATTCCACTAGTTTTCCAGTTTGTATGTAACTGTGTCAACATGAGGTTATTTAGTAGAGCCATGTCTTATTTTCAAGTCAATGTTTGAACTCTGTGCCAGAAAGCTAAGAGAGATGTTTGTGCTCCTGAAGACCTTGAATAAACTATCTTTTCCTATTATGCCAGTGAAACCAATCCGTAACCTAAATGGACATTCAATCGGGCCATATAGAATACATGCTGGGAAAACAGTGCCCATTGTGAAAGGAGGAGAGGCAACAAGAATGGAGGTATGTGTGCCATTAACAGTGCTTTTTTATGAAGCACTTTTTTTTCCCAAACTAAAGTTGGCGATAGTTGAGTATGTAGTATGTTGAGCAAAATTAACTTGCCGTCTGTACTCTGATAGGAATTGGTCTGTGTGAATGTGCAGATCATGTCTGGTTAGACCATGGCTCAGTTAGCTGTGGAGGTTGGGTATGCCAAGGGATTGTTTTTTCACCACTTATTAAGCATCTCTTAGGTGCCAGTCTCTTTAGTAGTCCCTGAGGATGCATTAGTGAACAAAATAAAATTCCCTGCCCATGTAAAGGCTACATTTTTTTTTAAGTAGGCTCCATGCCCAATGTGGAGCCCAACGCGGAGCTTGAACTCAGCAACCCTGAGATCAAGACCTGAGCAGATATCAAGAGTCGGACACTAAACCAACTGAGCCACCTAGGCACCCCATAAAGGCTACATTCTGATAGGACACAGAAAGACCAAAAAGTGCTAAGGAGATAAAGCAGGGAAGGGTGAATAATGACTGCCAGAGGTTATTTCATGTTGTTTCTTACATGAAGTAAATAATACCTCAGGCTGAAGTTAACAGATGGCAATTTTAATTAGTTCTGGATTTTTCTTCTTTCCCCCTGGCCCTTACATATTCTTTAGGAAGGAGAAGTATATGCCATTGAAACCTTTGGAAGCACAGGAAAAGGCGTTGTTCATGATGATATGGAATGTTCACACTATATGAAAAATTTTGATGTTGGACATGTGCCCATCAGGTGAGAGACCATTGTTTTTATGTTTCTTTTCCCAGTTAGCGTTTTAAAAAAATTTGACAAACATCCACAGTGGTACATTCATAAATGTACAGTTCTATAGCCTACCAGTAAGTTTTGTGGATTTTTATAATACAGCAAAGAAATTGGCCTGTTAAAAATCTTAACTGAGATAAAAATGATATAGGCAAGTATTCTCTTAAGATCCAGTTTCCAGTAATAATTTGAGAGGTGATTATTTTGCTGGCATTTCTAGGTGGTGGTTCTTAATATTTTCCTATTGGTAAACTTCCTATTTTTACCCTTTTTTTCCACCTTAAACTTTTTGGAAAAGATGGTTGAAAGATGGATTTATACCTCCTTTGTGTGCAGGTCTTTCAGCTTGATGCACAAAAAAGGAAAATTCCCACCATAGTACTCTTGATGAGTCTCTACTGGGAATTTAACACACACGTGCATAAACACATAAATATGATAAGATAGCCTTCAGCTGTTCTCCCATTCAGCTGCCATGTATAATTAGGTATGGGCTGTTATACATTCTGACTTTTGAATGTTGAGGCAACAAAAAGGTTTTTGAATTACTGAGTGAAGCCACGTCTACTGTATAAGTTTTCCTTAACGGGGAAAATGAGTGGGTAACTTTTTAGATACCTGTTAATTTTGGATTTTTTCCTCTTAGGCTTCCAAGAACAAAACACTTGTTGAATGTCATCAATGAAAACTTTGGCACCCTTGCCTTCTGCCGCCGATGGCTGGATCGCTTGGGAGAAAGTAAATACTTGATGGCTTTGAAGAATCTGTGTGACTTGGGCATTGTAGATCCATATCCACCGTTATGTGACATTAAAGGATCATATACAGCGCAGTTTGAACATACCATACTGTTGCGTCCAACGTGTAAAGAAGTTGTCAGCAGAGGAGATGACTATTAATCTTAGTCCAAAGCCGCCTCAACATCTTTTATTTTCTAAGCTTTGTTGGAATACATTATACCAGAAGTAATTTGCAACATGTTGTCTGTTTAACAGTGGACCTATGTAATGCTTTTATCCATGTTTAAAAAGGAAGGAATTTGATCAAAGGCAAACCATCTAATGTAATTAGCCAAGGAAAAAGCTTTCAGGACTTTCGAATGTTAACTGTTTTTCCCATCTAGGAAATGCTATAAAGCTCAAATTAGTTAGGAATGACTTACACATTTTTTGTTTTGAACACCTAAGAAATGCTTTTCAGATATTTATATTGCCATATTCTTAATTGAATGCTTTGAATGACTACATCCAATTCTGCACCTATACCCTCTGGTATTGCTTTTTAACCTTCCTGGAATCCATTTTCTAAAAAATAAAGACATTTTCAGATCTGAGAGCTATATTTCAATGTCTGTGGTTATAATTCTGCACAGGAATTAGCTAAACATAAATAGCTAAACATGTAGGGAAATGTAGAGCCTTTTATCTTGATTGTAGACCTCTACACTGAAACTTTTCTTCTGACATAGTGGCTAAAACAAGATCTATACATGCATTAAGTGGGAGAATCTTCATAAATTAATATAGAGCTTTAGGAATAGTTTGCCTTTATTTTCTTTTTAGAACCATATTAATCTTTCATTTTTTCCCCTGACATTAGAAAGATCTATTAATTGAAACATGACCTAGTAGGAATATGTACCAGCTTAAAACCTTGATTTAGTAAAATCTCAACATTTAGATCCTTTGTCCAGTGGTAGCACTTATCAGGAAATGTATTCAGCTTACTCAGTAAACCAAAAGGGCATTTAAAACTACAAATACTACAACAGGGAAACTTCTGTACTTGGACCGTGCTCTAGTTAGAAAAGTTTAATTGACTTACTAGGCTTTTTCATTAGTGAGCCAAATTATTTTAACACCCTGCCCCTTGACTGGCTTGATTTCAAAACTATGGTGGCATTTCAGGGAGTGAGGTTACAGTAACGCTCATTATGGCAGCTAAGGGCATAAGTTAAATGTGAGATGCGGAATACTTGTTTGAACTGAGTCCCACTGACAGATTCTTGAACAGATTGCTTGAATTCTTTGTAACTGATTTGTTGGGAATGTTCCAACATAATTTTAAAATTGTTTATGTACCAAGGTAAAGCCTTAATTTGTATATGCTTTAGCACAATAGGATTCACTGCCTCTGGGATGCTGTTTAGTTTGTATTTTAACATTTTTCTCATAGGAAGAAAAACCAGACTTCTGTACTTAGATCACTTACTATACATTAAAAAGCTGCTCTTTCAGCATTAGAGCTATAAATGAATGTTATCTTGTGGGATAAACAATCTAGTTTTTAGCTATGAGCCATGTTTATTATGGTGCTAATGTTCAAGAGCTACTTTTGGATTATTTTCTCCATTTTCTGTGATGTGCTTAGTGGCAGAGCTCACCAGTTCATGCTTGGACATGCTATAGGTCTTGGGCCCTCCAGCTAGTTCTTTCGGGGTTCTGAGTCCATACCTTTTTGATGTGTTTTGGTGGGAGATAGAAAGTATCTTGATTTCTAAGCTCAAGAGTTCTACAATTGACCTTATGAGTGAAGAATTTTGGACCTTTGTAAGACCGCTTTAGCAGTAGTGATTTCAAACCAGTTATGAGTTCCAAGCTCCCCCGCTCAGATAACTGTTGTGAGCGTAGCATCACTGCATGCCCCTGGAATAGCTGGAAGGAATATGATCTTGTAAATAGGAAAGCTGTCACTTAAAAAAATTGTATTGTTTACCTACTAGCCATGTATCTCTTGAAATCATTTTGTCATGTTTACAATGATGTACCTTATTGGTAACAAATTATTAGTTTGATGTTTAACAAATAGTGCCTTTAGTAAATTATTTTACAACCAAAACATGTTGTTTTTTGTTAGATCAACTTAGCTGAATATAGACGTCTACACTGAGATACACAATAAGAAATCTAAGTTTCTGTTCATTGGCTAGGTTTTAGTTTTGTTGTAAATTTAATAGACTTTAATTTTTTTATATCAGTTTTAGGTTTGCAGCAAAATTGAGCATAAAGTAGAGTTCCCATATACCCCCTTGACCTCATACACACAGCCTTCCCCATACGTTTGGTTTTGAGGGATTAAAGTAAAAGGCTAAATCACTTTCTTTCATATATTTTTATATTGAAGTTAAGTACTGAAACAAGCAATTATACCATTACAAACAGCAAAGCTTCCAGAGTGGTTTTTTGTTTTTTTGGGGTTTTTTAGATTTTATTTATTTGATAGATATACAGCGAGAGAGGGAGAAGCAGGCTTCCTGCTGAGCAGGGAGCCTGATGCGGGGCTCAATCCCAGGACCCTGGGATCATGACCTGAACTGAAGGCAGACGCTTAATGACAGCCATCCAGATGCCCCCAGGGTGGTTTTTAAAATATCTCCCTAAAATTAGGTGCAAAAGTGTATAGCAGTTAACCCAAGTATAAAGTAATCCTTGAAATTAAAAGAGGCCAGACTCTAGTATCTTGACCACTTAAATCTTTAATGAGGTATAATTACGTTAACAGTTGAGGTAACAACTTGCATAGGTATTTAAATGAACGATTTTAAACTTTAGCCATTTAATACTCAAGCTGTATTTTTGGCCTAAATGATTTGTCTGTTCAGAGAAATTCTCATTGCACTTCCTGATCAGCTGTCCCAGTGACTTGCTCTCTGAAATTTAAGTAAAATTTGCTAATAGGGGTCCTTTTCAAGCTTATGCTTAATAGATGACCACTAGCAGAGAACAGCATTCTACAGGATATTATCTTTCATGAAGATTTCAACCTGCAAGAAAACCCACTTAAAGGAAAAAATGATCTTCCAGTGGTTAACACTGAGCTAAGATGTTAAACAGCTGATCTATAGAGGTTAGTGAGTAATTAGCAGCAGTAGGATTTTGAAGAGATCTAGTAAGATTATTAAGGAAGAGCAAAGAGTATTTCACACTATATTTTTTAATAAAAGGTAAGTTTAGATAATTTTTAATTAAAAAAATAAGGGCCCAGTGTTTGAATATCTGAGGTTCCTAGTCCTCACATAATTGGAGCAAAAGTAATCCAACCCTTTAGTTATTTAGAAATAGGAGATGCTGAACATGTTGCCCAGTTGCCAATTTTGAACAATTATCTTCTCTGTCCTATGCAATTTTTTTCTCTTCAAGAAGACATTTTTTTCCTTTAAAAATCTCAAGATACGATATGGTACAAAGCTTTTAAGAGATCTAATGTTAAGCATATAAAATGAACTTATTCAAGTTAAACTGTACTTGTATATCATAATACACTGCTGAATTCAGACTTTTGATAAGACTGCTTACTAGAATCTGGACAAACCTGTTTGCTGCCAAACAAACCATCATAAGTCCCAGCCATCATTGTTTTCATGTCCACAGTACTGAAGTAATTTAAATATACTATTTATAAAGCTGTCATTTTCATTTGTATAAAGCTGGACTATGCCAAATAAAGAACAATTATTAAAACTTAAAATATTTTGGAAAAATGGAAGTTCCATTAACCAAAATAATGTCTATTCTGAGCCCTGTAACAAAGCCTCAGGAATATCAATTAGTGTGATTGATGAGTATTTAGGTGATACCTTGATATTTCATAATGAATGTAGTAGTTTAACTCCAAGGGGCAAAGGTAACTTCAGTATACAAATGGCCTGAAATAATTTTTTTTTTTGGTATGACTATTAGTGAAGAAACTAATTTTCCATCTAAAAAGAATTTGTATAGAAAATGCCTACAAAAGATAAATAAATGTATAAAGTGATGCCACCTGAACTTCAGTAAAAGATTGCACAAATTCATGATCTGAGCCAATTAAGACATCAAAATAAAAAAGAGGTAATGCCAGTCTGAAGTAAACACAAAGTTTAAAACTCCCAAGTACTTGAAAAAAGTTTAGTTACCTGCTGTCATTGATACACATATTCATGCTAATCTTGTCTCTGTGAAAGGAGTTTTGTTGTAGATACAAAATGTATAAACAGTGCACTGATTCCTAAGTAAAAAATTAAAACCATGAAGCTCCAAATTGAAGCCCTTTTAAAAAGTATATAAAACCGCAAGAAGAAAGCCCCACTGTCTGGATCAGCTAAGGATTTCATTAGAAGAGGTATCAGCTTCTTCACTGGGATGTTGGCTACCAGACAGGAGTTCTGGAGGCAAGAGTTTAGAATGTCCATTCTCAGTAACTCGCTGGGTATAAAACAAGATATAAGCTTGGGCCTTGCATACTTCGTCCATAGTGCACATGCTTAGCTTGGAGTCATTGCAGTGTACCCAGAACCCTAGAGTGAAGCACAGAAATACTTTACCTAAAGGTTTATAAAAGAACTTTAGAAGTTTCTAATATAAATTAATATGGATTTAAAGGCATTAGTTTCAGTGAGAGTTACATTTCTTTGAAGGGAAAATAACTAGCCAATTCATTTCTATTGATGAGAAATACAGCTTGGGCAGTATGTTATTCTGGAATCATCTACCTTTATTCTAGAAGTAATCTGAAGTTAAAAAATCTGAGTAGTTCACTTGACACTATCTTTAATTCTAGGTATAATCTGACCAGTTAATGCTTTTGCTGCTAATCATATGTAGAGCAAACAGTGTACAACTCACTCTTGGTAGTTTATTGTTAAATTAATTGCCCTCATGGATTATGTGGGCTTTCTCTCCATACCTCTTTTCTGGGTGAGGTGGAATGGTATGCATGGGGAGGCTCAGTCTTCATTCAGTAGTAGTTAAAGGAAGGGGAAATAAAAAGTGAAACCTAAATCAATTTTGCTACCTATGAAGATTGTCCTTGAGGGTCCATGGAGGCAGTAAGTGAAAGTGAGTTTTATTAAAACCTGAACTCAGAGTTTGTTCTAAATATCTGTGATCCCCAGTTCATTAAATGCTCTGTTCTGTAACAAAATTAACTAGATGAAACCACTAAAGAGAGGACCTGCCCTTAGAAATGTGCTTGTAAGGTAGCAATCTGACTTTTAATTAATGTGACCATCCTTATTATCCTATACCTACAGCCTTTGAAAGTCAAAACTACTACAATCCTGCAGAAAATATCCCATTTTCTGCACAAACCTGTTTTTTATGAACTGTAGAAGTATTCTTAAAAAAAAAAAAAAAAGGTCAAGTGGCTTCCCTTAAGATGATTTAGTGGCCAATTTAGAAATTGTAAAGCCTAAATACCAGGTTCCAAGTCTGACCCAAGATAAAATACTTTTCCCCATCTATACCTCCTTCAGAATTATAGCAGTAGGCAGTGTAGTGTCCTGAGCCAAATCCTTTCCCATGGTGCATTACTACAGCAGATAAATCATAGATAAAACATTCTGGTCTGAGGGATTTCAGGGATTCCCT